GGCGCGTGTGTCTGTGTTTGTGCGCGTGCGTATGCTCATGTGTGGGTGCGCGTGTGTCTGCGTGAGTACTGAGTATGTGTGCACGCGCGTGTCTGTGTTTGTGCGCGTGCGTATGCTCGTGTGTGGGGGCGCGTGTGTCTGTGTTTGTGCGCGTGCGTATGCTCATGTGTGGGTGCGCGTGTGTCTGCGTGAGTACTGAGTATGTGTGCGCGCGCGTGTCTGTGTTTGTGCGCGTGCGTATGCTCATGTGTGGGTGCGCGTGTGTCTGCGTGAGTACTGAGTATGTGTGCGCGCGCGTGTCTGTGTTTGTGCGCGTGCGTATGCTCATGTGTGGGTGCGCGTGTGTCTGCGTGAGTACTGAGTATGTGTGCGCGCGCGTGTCAGTGTTTGTGCGCGTGCGTATGCTCATGTGTGGGTGCGCGTGTGTCTGCGTGTGTATGTGTGGGTGCGCGTGTGTCTGCGTGAGTACTGAGTATGTGTGCACGCGCGTGTCTGTTTGTGCGCGTGCGTATGCTCGTGTGTGGGGGCGCGTGTGTCTGCGTGAGTACTGAGTATGTGTGCGCGCGTGTGTCTGTGTTTGTGCGCGTGCGTATGCTCGTGTGTGGGGGCGCGTGTGTCTGCGTGAGTACTGAGTATGTGTGCGCGCGCGTGTCTGTGTTTGTGTGCGTGCGTATGCTCGTGTGGGTGCGCGTGTGTCTACGTGTGTATGTGTGTGCGCGCGTGTCTGTGTTTGTGCTCGTGTGTGGGGGCGCGTGTGTTTGCGTGAGTACTGAGTATATGTGTGCGCGCGTGTACGTGTCTGTATTTGTGCGCGTGCGTATGCTCGTGTGTGGGGGCGCGTGTGTCTGCGTGAGTACTGAGTATGTGTGCGCGCGCGTGTCTGTGTTTGTGCGCGTGCGTATGATCGTGTGTTGGTGTGCGTGTGTCTGCGTGTGTATGTGTGCGCGCGCATGTCTGTTTGTGTGCGTGCGTATGCTTGTGTGTGGGGGCGCGTGTGTCTGTGTATGTGTGCGCGCGCGTATGCTCGTGTGTTGGTGTGCGTGTGTCTGCGTGTGTATGTGTGCGCGCGCGTGTCTGTGTATTTGCGCGTGCGTATGCTCGTGTGTGGGGGCGCGTGTGTCTGGGTTTGTGCGCGTGCGTATGCTCGTGTGGGGGTGCGCGTGTGTCTGTGTTTGTGCGCGTGCGTATGCTCGTGTGTGAGGGCGCGTGTGTCTGCGTGAGTACTGAGTATGTGTGCGCGCGCGTGTCTGTATTTGTGGGTGCGCGTGCGGCTTGTGCCTGTGTGAGTACGGGTGTGCGCGCGTGTACGGGAGTGCGCGTGTGTGCGCGTGTACGGGAGTGCGTGTGTGTGCGCGTGTGCGTGCACTCGTGCAATGATCAGGGTAGCTATATCTGTATATACGATAGCCATGTATGCTAACAAGTGCAGGATTCCCGTATCTATCTATGCAGAGACGTTGTTACGCTAATTTCACTTATTTACCCAAATAATGTAAATATTTCTGTAGGAATTCAATTTACTACAACTAAATAATTACTGCAACGTAAAGACTTACGCACTTAATAAGTTCTTCTCAGCAAACTATTCATAGTAACCTGTTTACATGCATTGTCACCATGTTCCCAATCACGCCTGTATAATTATACAGTCGAATCAACACGATGATTGCTACTGATATATTCTTAAAATTTTACAACCGCTAAAACTCCACAAAGTCCCTCATAATGCGTTACCTATTCCGCGCGTTACAGCTATTCGCAGTGTGAAGGAAGTAGACGAAAATGCCCGAGATCTTATCTGCTACATCTCGAACACAACGGAGCGTTAAAACGTAAACTTTGATTCTTATTTACGTGCGCTAGATCCCTAGTTACCCACATTTTACCAAGATTCGTGGACATTAGTCTTCGCCTATTAACCGATACACACAGTGGCGTAACTAGGGTGCAGCAGGTTTGGCACGTGCCCTGGGCGCCACTTGGAGGGAGCGCCACTGAGCAATTTCTGTTAAAGTCAGACAAGACATTCTCGGATAGTGAAAAAAGAATTTTCTTCAGATGTACACTCTTTACTGTGTTCAGTCATCGCTGTAGGCACTCGTGATTGATATAGTTCACTCGGGTAAAGCAAGCAACCAAGTGTGATGCTATATGCACCTGCCCAGCATAGGTGAGAAGACAGGGTGCCTGCCATGGCAACAGCAAGCACATGCGAAATGGGGCCTTTGTTCTAACGTGTACTGTTCAGCTTCTAGACACTTATTCTGTCTGAAATTTTCGAATCACACTGCCCAATCCCTCCTGTACATACTCTCAAAATTTCATATCAATCTGTAACTCGACATACCCTTTAAGGAGGCGTGTAACAGTAAGCCTCCGCGATTGTTCACCGTTGCACTATTTCTCGTATAGAAAAGAGCAGTTTTCTCGAATTTTTCGTGGCAAATTTCGTCATTAGAGTGCGTAAATGTGCATTGCACAATGAAGACGGATGCCCGATAGACGTTTGGAAAGGATTGAAATTTCAATCGGTTTTGTGGAAAAATTGTGCAAATGCGTGGGGTGTCGTAGCCATGGTGACCGGCAGCCGCGTTTGAGAGTTGAGGGTACCCGACAAACATGGTGGAATTTCGCATCATAGAGCTGGCAAAAGTTCCGAGTGAAGATTGTACGGTTAATGTGCAGTGATTTTGCATGAATAAAATGCATGCTGTGTGTTTATAGTAACTGTTTACGTATTTTTAATTATTTTCTGTGTGCTGCTCATTCAGGCCTGCTGCCTATGGACGCCCTCTACTGTTGGTAAACACCTATACCAGAGTAGAATTGAGCCAGAGCGAGAGCGCCATCTGTCGTGGAGCCCTTTGTCTACTATATCCTGAGCAAACTCCATGACAGATGGCGCTCTCGCTCTGGCTCAATTCGTATATTCTGAGTGTGGGAAGGGGGCGCTGCATGCAGTTTGTATCCTGAGTGTGGGAAGGGGGCGCTGCATGCAGTTTGTGTGCGCAGTGGAACCCTATTTCTGAGAATTTGCACTTTTGGCACTTTTGGCAGTTTTGTTCCGGATGACCGCTTTGAAAGCTTGTGTTTTTAGAACGCGGATGACATAAGAGGTAATTTAGTTGATGTAGAGAAATAGTAATGTCTAGAGACCATACTGGTGTAATGTGTGCTGTTTAAAATTGTATACATTTTGTGTGAGAGACGTTTTGAAACTGTTCATTGTTTGGTCAGTGGCTTTGCTAGTTTAATTAGTTCATGTGGGCGTTGGTAGGTGGCAGTAGCGCATAGTCCATTATTATTGAAACGCACACTGTAGAAGGGGCATTTTAGCCAGGTTTTGGCCTTTAGTTATTAATCAATAAACTTTTGTGAGTTGTTGCTTAGCCTAGCGTGTGTGGGTGATATTTCTGGGTGAAGTAGTAGTTTATTGTTATTTGTTGCGGTTTGTATACGTAATGGTGTATCATTGTAATTGATATCATGCAGGTTAGTGGTTTGGCTGAGTTTGTGAACTTTCAGTGAGATCTATGTAAAGGAGTAAGGCAAAGGGTTATTTTCTATTACTTGTCAGTTTGCTTATTACGTTTTTGTACACCTTTGCAGATTTACGGATACTCGAGGGAATTGACGGATGTTTGATGGGAATGTGAAACTGTATTGGGTCTTGATGACAAATACATAAAGATAGACTGTATCCAGTAATTCCTGTGTCTATTTCGTTGAACGAGCTCGCGGAAGACTCCGGGCGATTTGGCCGCCACACCCCCGGAGCCAATGAGGCATGGCCGACCTGGCTATGCCTAAATTGCCTCAGGACAGGGATTGGTCGATGCAGGACACTCATGCAAAAATAGGGATACATTGAAGATGGCCCAACCGAATGCGACTGCGGGGAGGACCAGACTATGGGACATCTCCTGGAATGCCCCATATTACCAGAGCCATGTAGCCCTGGAGACCTTAAGGTTTACAACCACCGTGGCAGGTCATGTGTGGTGCAGTGGCTAGGTCGAGTCTAGTCTGTATTGTAGTGACCCAAGAAGAAGAAGCCGCTAGAATTATTGCGCTGGGCTCTAAGATGCCTGTGCCTGATGCCTGATAAGACGAAAGCGCCACCTTCTGGCTAAGAATGTTGCTATTGGCGTGTTCTTATAAAAGTTCTATTATGTATAAAATTCAAATAGTCTGATTGATTGTGTAAAATGTTTATCTATTTTATTTGACTGATAAAACAACATGAACGATACTGGCACAACATAAATGATTATACGCTTATGCTTTGCATATGCGCATGATAACAAACTTAGTATACAACAAACAATTTTCAACAAAGTGCAATTATGTACAAATGTTCAACAAAACGGTGGCTAACGAGGTTTAACAGTAAATACCATCAGAAGCCTTTATACTAGTGTAGCGTTGTTAGCTTTCCATAGATAGAACAAACAATTTTTAAACATCAAACTGCTTCATAAGTAAAAAAGGAGGATTTCTACATTATCAACAATGAAACGATTTATGCAGTGTTCGTACTTTTTACTCCTTACTCCCTACCTAATTAAGCAATCGTCTTTACAAAAATCAAAACACTAACCTGTAAACCTTATGATGTCTTTAAAATAGCATCAATAACATTAACAATTGCATGTCTGTGTGAAATTTTGTATAAATCCATATCTATCTACGACCATAGCCGCCGCCATGGTCGTCGCCATTGTCGCCGCCATAGTCGTCGCCATTGTCGCCGCCATGGTCGTCGCCATAGCTGCCTTGTCGGTGTTGGGAAATAAGCTGAGTTATGTAGCCTTTTGCCTTCGTGTGGGTGTTGCTTGTATCTTTTGCCTTCGTGTGGGTGTGGGTGTAGCTTGTATCTTCTGCCTTCGTGTGGGTGTTGCTTGTATCTTTTAGAAATATAAATAATGGACGGTGAATACCGCCGCCGTAGCCACCACCTCCGTAACCGCCTCCATGGCCGCCTCCGTAACCGCCTATGCCTCCAAAGCCTCCATGGCCACCGCCATAGCCTCCACGGCCGCCGCCATAGCCTCCATAGCCGCCGCCATAGTCTCCGTAACCGCCGCCATGGCCGCCGCCATAGTCTCCGTAACCGCCGCCATGGCCGCCGCCGTAACCGCCTATACCGTGGAAGCCTCCTCCAAAGCCGCCTCTGCCATAGCCGCCTCTGCCATAGCCGCCTCTGCCATAGCCGCCTCCGTAGCCGCCATATCCAATTGAGTGTGCCTGAATATATATATAATTATATATATTGTAACGGCGGCCGTGAGGCGCGAGGATAGATACATATCCGCGAGGATACCGCGCGGCCGTGGCAGTGATATGCACGGCGCGCTGCGAGTGTGTAATATCTAGCCCGCGTGATATTTAGTGTAGCAATTATATGCGTACATACATTGGTTTAGGGAGTGATATTTGGCGGGGAGAGATGTGAACGCTAGGACGAGCTGACGGTTGTGAGGGAGTAAGCAGGAAAGAAAGGGGCGTGTCAACAGAGAGGGGCAGAGTGGTCCAATCGGGAAGAATCACGTGTAGATGACGTAGGTAGGCAGAGAAGCGATTGGTGGGCTTCGAGAAAGGAATGCGCTCTGGGAAACATTCCTGTACTAGTCACGGCGTCACGTGATGATGGATGAATGCGCTCTGGGAGACATTCCTGTACCAGTCACGGCGTCACGTGATAATGTAGAACGCTCTGGGAGACATTCCTGTATTAGTCACGACGTCACTTGATGATGTAGAATATAAGCGCGTGCGCGTGTCGAAGAGTTCAGTTCAGTTCAGTTCAGTTCAGTTCGGTGGTTGCGAGTTGGGAGTTGGGAGGAGAGAGAGAGAGGGAGAGGGAGAAGAACAGTGGTCGGAGAGTGCGAGTTAGCAGTCGGAATCAAGCAAAGAGTGTAGACGCCAGCGGTTGAACAGCGGAGTTAGTAGTGAAACAGTTGAGAGTTGCGAGTGGAGGGAGAGAGACAGTTCTTTACAGTTCTTCACAGTTCTTGACAGTTAGAGACTCGCCAGTTGAGAGCGCGCGTGGGAGAGAGAGAGCGAGTAACGGTGACGCCGCGCTTATTGTACGTATATCCGAGCATCGGTTCTCGGCCTGTGAGTGAACTACATAAGTGGTGCGTATGGGTGTCACACCGCAATAAACAGTCGGGTTTGTCCCGTCATATTGTCACTCTACTTCTATCTTCGGACCTCTTTCTGAACTTCACGTATTCGGCAAGCCTTTCCTTTACGAGCTAACGTCGGGTGTAGACGACGACGGGGAATTACACAACGCACGCACGGGCCCTATCAAGCCCGTGTGAAGGGTACGACCAAAAAGGGAGACATAACTGATCCCGGCTGAGCCACACTACATATGGTGCCGCAATAACAGGAGTCGAAAACGCTACATAATTGGTGCCGGTGACCGAGGATAAGAGCTATTGCCGACTAATAGCAGTAGAAGAAAGAAGAAAGAAGACAGAAGATCAAAGTGGGAAGATGGAAGGCGTGCGGCCTGATAATGAAGAGATAGGCTGGAACGATGACGCACAGCCGAGAGACGGGGACGTCGAGGATGAGGCTAAAACCCCCAAAAGAGAGAGGGGAGCTGGAGTAGTGCGGGAGTTCATGAACCCTGGGTACTCTAGTGAGGCGGAGGAGGAATATGCCGAGGAAGAGCTGTTCGCCGGGCCAGCGGAAAACCAGTTCCCAACGAGCACATTCAACCAGGGGGACTTCAGCAGAAGTCGGCGCCGCAAAGAAGATGAAGCGAAACAGAAGGTAGGCCAGACGCAGGTTACCTTCCTTGACCCCGCTGCAGAAGGGCGGTTCAGGACCCCCCGAAAAGGGATGAAGGGAATGACGGTCGAGAAAGGCGAGCAAGGGATAAGCCCGCGGCCAACTCCCGCTGCCGAAGGGCAGGGTGTTACTGACCGTTGGACGGATGCGAGTGCTGCCAGGGATAATCGGGAAAGAAGCCCGATGTCCAGGCAAGCCAGTAGGATGAGAGGACCGTGCGCTTCGAGCACACCGAGGGTCCTGCACGAAGGGACACGCAATCGGAATGAACGTATGAAAGTACGGCCATTTACGGGGTCTGCTGACGTACCACTACAAACATTTTTTCAAAAATTTGAGATTGCAGCGAGTTTTAATCGATGGGATCGTGAGGCACGCGCGGCGCAGTTGGCAGCTGCGTTAGAGGGACCTGCAGCGGAGCTCCTAACAACTTGCCAAAACTACTTAGATGAGGCGAGTCTGAGAGCAGCCCTCGTGGCGCGTTACGATCCTGTAGGAAGAGAGGCACAACATCAGGAGGCGCTCGAAACCCGTAGAAAGGAGCCCACAGAGACGTGGGAGCGGTACGGACAGAGTTTGAAGATGTTGACGCGATTGGCTGTGCCGGGGGTTACTGACGACATGTGCGGGCATATGGCTCGACAGCGGTTCGTCCGCAACCTCCCATCACACGCCTTCAGGGCGTATGTACAGGGCCATTCAGGACCAACGGTGGAGTCCGCAGCGATGATGGCAGAGGAGTATGAGGCTCTGGGAGGGGGAGGGGTCCCCACCCGGAAACCGTACATAGCACCGGTAGGGCCGAAGGAAAAGACTATGTCCAAGGTTGTTGAAGAACCAGGGAGAGCGGGTGGCGAAGAGACTGGCGGCGTCGGGAGGGCGGCGTCGGGAGGGCGGCCGTAGGTCGAGTGGAGGAGCGCGATGGTAACGTGAGAGCCCGGACTCGGTGGACGGCTGAGGAGCTGCAGGACCTCGCGGGGCTCCTGCGCGACATCCTGGCGCAGGAGAGGGCAGACCAAGGTCGCCGTCGGGCAACCGAAGGAGTCCCACAGCAGCGAGACGGGAGGCGCTATGAGAGTGGCAGCCAGGGAGGACAAAGAAGGCCAATGGACCGTCTGACGTGCTATCGGTGCGGAAGACGGGGCCACATGGCTAGGGAATGCCCTACACCGTTTCCGTTGCGGGATGAAGGAGAGCAAACGGCGGGAAGCGGCCGTGAGGGACCGCCGCCGCGGCAGCACATTGCAGTGCAGAAGCCGACAGTATCTAGGGGTGGCTCTGAGGCGCCAGCCGTAGGAGCAGTGCCGGCGGGAAACTACTAGAGGCCGGGAGAGAGCCGACACTCCCGGCCGGCGGTAAGAGGAGGCGAGAAGAAGAGTCCAGAGGTAGCGTCGCAGGCGTGTGTTCACGCCCCTCTTGGCACATCACGGTGAAGGTGTGCGGGAGGCCTGTGGAATTCATGGTTGACACAGGAGCCGACGCTACGCTACTGGACCGGGAAGTGTATGAAGAGTTACCTTGGGATCGACCACCCCTGCGGGAAGCGTCAACGGCCATGTTTGACGTCCAGAATTATCCGTTACCCACGGCTGGAGAAATCGAGACCGACCTGGTTATTGGAGGCCTCACCTACCGCCATGACTTATTGGTCGTCGACGTGGGTCGTCGGTATGGAATCCTAGGGATGGATTTCTTGGGAAGTCGAGGTTGCCAGGTGGACGTAGGACGGGGATTCCTCAGCATAGGTGGGGTCCTCCATCTCCTCCATGGGGAGGAGAAAATCGAGGCGCGTAGCTTGCGCGCGGTCCGTCGGGTAGAAATTCCTGGCGGATATGGAGCAGTTATAGAGAGTCGTGTAGCGGGACCGGCGTGGAGAGGAGGTCGGCTGGCATTAGCTGAGGCCGCTAGTCGGCTAGCACAACGAGGAGGAAAGAAGCACGTCCTGGTGGGGCGCAGCCTGGTCGACACAGGGAGGGAAGTGATCCCCCTGTCGATCGTTAACATGGGTGAGAGTCCCCTCATCATTCATGAAGGAGAGAAGGTCGGTCGCTTGGAACCGGCCTCACGAGTGGCACCTGCAGGAGCGGGACCCTTACTGATGGAGAGGATGGACACGGTTCGGCAGCCGTTGCCCGATTATTTGCAGAAGTTGGTAGACACCGCTGACGAAAGGCTGACAAGGACACAAAGGGAAGAATTAGAAGGGCTATTGAGTGCCAACAGGAGTCTGTTCGCCGCCCCGAAAGCACCGTTGGGAAAGACAGGGATCGTCCGGCACAACATCGATACCGGTGATTGGCGCCCTATCAAGCAAGCCCCGAGGAGGTGTCCCATCGCGAAGCAAAGGATATTGGATGAGGAAATTGACAAAATGCTTGCTGCTGGGGTAATCGAACCGAGCAGCAGCCCGTGGGCCTCGCCAGTTGTGCTTGTCACAAAAAAGGACGGGACGACACGGTTTTGTGTTGACTATCGACGTTTGAACGATCTAACGCGAAAGGATGCGTATCCCCTGCCTCGCGTGGATGACACACTGGATGCTCTCGCGGGTGCACAGTGGTTTAGCACTCTAGACCTAGCTTCAGGATACTGGCAAGTAGAGATGGAGCCCGCAGACAGACACAAGACTGCATTCGGAAGTAGGCGGGGCCTATTCCAATTCCGCGTGATGCCGTATGGGTTATGTAATGGGCTGGCCACATTTGAACGTCTGATGGAGTTGATACTCCGGGGTCTTCAGTGGCGAGAATGTCTCGTCTATTTGGACGACGTAATTGTGTACGGAAAAACATTCGAGGAGGCCTCAAGTAACCTCCGCCACGTGTTTGGGCGCCTGGCGAAAGCAGGGCTCAAACTAAAGCCATCGAAGTGTAGCCTGTTTCGCACCAGTGCGGCCTTCCTGGGCCACATCGTGTCGGCTGATGGAGTCCGATGCGACCCAGCCAAGCTGAGGGCCGTTCAGAAGTGGGGGCAGCCCCGAAACGTGAGAGACGTCCGAGGGTTTCTTGGATTCGCAAATTACTACCGTCGGTTTATACCCGACTTTGCATCTGTGGCAAGCCCTCTCACCAACCTCACCCGAAAGACCATCCGATTCCAGTGGACGGCAGCGTGCGAAACCGCCTTCACTGAATTGAAGCGCCGGTTGACTGAAGCACCGGTGCTGGGGTACCCAAAACCTGAAGGCGAATTTGTGTTGGACACAGACGCGAGCGGGACGGGCATGGGGGCCGTCCTGTCACAGGTACAGGAAGGTGAAGAGCGCGTGATCGCGTATGGCAGTAAGGGATTTAGTGCCACGCAACGAAGGTACTGCACCACCAATAGAGAGCTGCTGGCAGTAGTTACCTTCGTGCGTCAGTTCCGGCACTACCTCCAAGGCCGGCCCTTCCTCGTGCGCACGGACCATGCCTCCTTGAAGTGGCTCCTCAGCTTCAAAGAGCCGGAGGGGATGGTCGCGCGGTGGATTTCCTTCTTAGGAACATTCGACATGAGGATTGACCATCGGCCAGGACATCTCCATGCTAATGCAGACGGGCTCTCGCGGCAGCCAGAATGCCGAAAGTGCAAGCGGGAGGATTGTCCGCAATGTGAGAAGTGCGTGGAAGGCTCGGATCGCATGAAGTGCGAGGTGAAGCCACCCAGTCGCGGGGCAGCAGCTGCCGCGGTTGGGGCAGGGACCCCGAGAAGGGGTGGAACGGCGCAACGATCCGCCAGGAGGGGGCGGGGTACAAATACCCGTGACGTCGGAGAGAAACGATCCGCCAGGAGGGGGCGGGGTACAAATACCCGTGACGTCGGAGAGAAAGGATCCGCCAGGAGGAGGCGGGGTAAAAATATCCGTCACGAGGAGGAGGGTTCGGTAAAATGCTGCCGAATGAAGAGGGTGAACGCAAGCCAGCCGAACATGGAGCAATGGAGCGACGAACAGCTCCGACGGTGGCAGCAAGAGGACGCCACCATCAAGCTGGTCAGCAGCTTGAAAAAGGACCATGTTGCTAGGCCACGGTATGATGCGTTGGCAGGGGCATCGTGGGAGGGGAAGTCATATTGGAGCCTCTGGGATCGGCTCGAGCTTCGACGAGGACTCCTCTACCGGCGATGGATGCCCGAGAATAGGCCCAGTACAACCGTGTTGCAGCTGGTGGCGCCACCGGTGATTAGGCGTGAAATCATGGAGATGTTGCACGGGGGACGAACGGCAGGACACCTTGGAATACGCAAAACCCTAGAGAGGGTGCGACAGAGGTTTACCTGGCCGGGCATGCGGGTCGACATCCACCGATGGTGTCGCAAGTGTGACGCATGCGCGCAACGAAAGGGGAGGAGGCATAGAAGAGCTGGATTGCAGCAGCAAATAGTGGGAGCCCCGTGGGAACGCGTGGCCATAGATTATTTAGGACCGCTGCCTACCACCGAGCGCGGGAATAAATATATCTTGGTCGCCAGTGACTACTTTACCAAGTGGACAGAGGCGTTCGCATTGCCGACCATGACGGCGCTGCGAACGGCTGACTGTTTGGTCACTGAGCTGTTCGCACGGTTCGGAGTGCCGCGACGATTGCACTCGGATCAAGGGACCAACTTTGAATCGCAGCTCTTCGCCGCCGTGTGCGAGGCATTGGGCATTGATAAGACGCGCACAACGCCTTATCACCCCCAATCCGATGGACAAGTAGAACGCTTTAATAGGACAGTACAAGATATGCTAGGAAAAGTGGTAAACCAGCAGCGAAATGACTGGGATGATCACCTGCCCTTTGTCATGGCGGCATATCGTGGGACCGTTCATGAAAGCACGGGGTGCAGTCCGAATCTGCTACTGTTCGGCCGAGAGGTTGGTATGGCGGCTGATCTGCTGATGGAAGCGGCGCCTGAAACTGACGAGCCGACATGCCCCGTCGAGTATGTGGAATGGCTGCGCACAGCCACGAGAGAGGCGCACGAGTACGCCCGACAGCAGCTCGGCCGGTCCGCCTTGCGACAGAAGAAGGCGTATGACAGCCGGGTGGTGTTTTCGGCGGTACCTGCCGATACATGGGTATGGTATTGGTACCCACCTGCCGACCGGAAGCTGGGGTGTCCCTGGACGGGGCCTTACTTAGTCATCAGGGCCCAGGGCAAGCTTCGGTGGATCCAACGAGCAGATGGTGCGCCGATAAGGATCGTAGTGGTCGATGAATTGAAGCCCTACGAGGGGGAGAACCCACCGCCGAGATGGGCAACGACGGACGGCAGAAAGGAAGACGAATCCGCTGAGATGGAGCGGGTTATAGATACCCAGTCAACAGACGAGGAACTGTCCGACGAAACCGCCATAGAGGGCCGGGGTAGAGATGCCCAAAGAGTCGAGGAAAGCGGAGGAAATGGACCCGCCAGTCCGAGACAAGGCAGGCATAACTACGAAGACGATGAGCGAGAGGACGCGGTGGAGACATCCTTCATCATTGAAGAGGTAGAGGTCCCCGCTGGGCCTAAGACGCCCACGAGCAGTGAACTCGTGTCCAACGCATCGGCAACAGAGATAGTCACGGAGGAGCGGGAGGAAGAAATGGTGACGGAATCTGTTGTGGAGATAGAAGAAGATAAGGCGGAGGTGACTGCCGAACTAGATGCAGAAGAGAGGGTTGAGCGCGTGGAAGACGCGACAGTGACGGAAATCATCGGAGAAGGAACGAGACGCGAAGCAGCTG